GTGTGTGTGTGTGTGTGTGTGTGTGTGTGTGTGTTTATGTGTATGTGTATAAGTGTATGTGTATGTGTATGTGTATATGTATGTATGTATTATGTATTTATGTACTACGTATTTATATAGTATATATGTACGATGTATGTACGTATGTATTATCTATGTATGCATTATGTATGTATGTACGTACGTATATATCCATGCATGTATGTGAGCTTTCACTTTAAACTGTAAATGGTGTATTCCCAAGTGATAAGATTTGTCTTGAAATGTCAATTGACTGAGCGCTTTTTTCAAATAAGTAAATCTCAGAAATAAAAACAGCTTCAATTCATGTTTCTTCTCTCCCTTTCATTCATTACTTCCACTTCCCTCTCCGTATCTTTCTTCCCCTTCCTATCATTAACTTTTCTGACCCTTTCGCTCTCACAGTTCTTCCCTTTCTCTTTCAACCTCCCACTACGGCACTGCAGCCATAAAAAAAATATTCCTTAGGGTGCAACGTAAGACACCATTGGTTATAAATTTAAATGAAAAATAGTAATAAATAGATGAGATTAAAACAAATAAAAAAGGGTTCGATATACCTGTTTTATGCAAAGTGTCTTTTTTCTTCCACTGTATCAACATTTGTTTTGTCATTCACGAGCCCACCTCGATCTAAAAGAAATAAAATATTTAAAATACCATTCCCCTTTCCCTCACCTTCCCTCACTTCCTTTCATTCCCTCCCTTTCCCTCTGCCCCTTCCTCCTTCCTCTTCCTCCTCTCCCTCCTCTCCCTCCTTTCCCTTCCTCTTTTCCCTTCCCTCTATTCCCTCTTTTCCCTCCTTCCTCCTTGCAACCCTCTCTCCATAGTAAAAAAAAAAATCGAATAGAGCTCACCTGCCCCGCCCGTCCGCCCGCGCCCCTCAGCACTGGTGCAGGTGCTGCGTCGGGAACCCAGGGTGGTCCGTGAGGATGTGTCGGTTGAGGTACTCGCGCCGGGTGCCGCGGTAGGGGCAGTGGGGGCACAGGAAGGGCTTCTCCCCGGTGTGCGTCCGCTGATGGCGCACCAGCAGGTAAGGCCATTTGAACGCGTGGCCGCAGATGCTGCAGGTCGTGCTTTTGCCTTGGCAGTTGCTCGGGGTCCCCAGCGCGCCCATCTGCAGGAAGGAGGCCCAGTGTTAGCCATGGTTGTTCGTCCCTCAACGCCCTCGGACGCCCACTAGCGCCCACAGACGCCCTCTGTCCCTTCCAGTCACCTGTCACATGCTCGCCACCCCCTCCCCTGGCCCCTGCTCTCGGCTCATAACACCTGCCCTTTGGATGTCTCCGTCGGGTAGCTGCGTCCTCGCTGTCGGATCACCTTTGCCACCGCTACCTAAGACTACGTAGCTCCCTTCACTGTGCATTCACCTTCGAACAACACAGTTCCCCCCTCTGACTCTCCCCCCCTCTCTCACTACAGCCACCACCGCCTGTTCCATCACCATTTCCCACACCCAATTCACCATTTCCCACACCCAATTCACCATTTCCCACACCCAATTCACCTGCTTCCTTATTCGCACTCTAGGATCAAAATTAACGCCACCTGTTGTATAGTCACGGGCCAAAAACATGTTTCGAATTGTGTCTCGAACGATCAAAATAATCTTCGGTTTAGGGTTCGAGATTTCGAAGCTTCATTCAAAGCATTTTTTGTCAGTAACTGTATCTCAGTAATACCATTATCTGTAATGAATTATCTTTCTGGCAAATAAAATAAAATAAGGATAGTCTTCCCCGAATTCTCTTTACTAGAAGAGAAACTAACAATGAACTGAATTGGCTAATGATAATGATGGCAATATGAATAATCATGACAAAGACGGTGCTAATATTGGATGATGATGGTCACGATGGTGATGACGGTGGTGGTGATGATGATAATGATGATGGTAATGGTGATGGTGATAATGATGGCAATATGAATAATGATGACAAAGACGTTGCTACTATGGAATAATGGTCACGATGGTGATGGTGATGATGATGATGATGATGATGATGATGATGATGATGATGATGATGATGATGATGATGATGATGATGATGATGATGATGATGATGATGATGACGATGATGATGACGATGGTGATGGTGATAATGATGGCAATATGAATAATGATGACAAACACGGTGCTAATATGGGACGATGATGGTGACGATGGTGATGGTGGTGATGATGAGAAGAGGAGGAAATTGATGATGGTGATAACGATAATAATTTCAACGAAATAACAATAAAGACAACTACAGTACAACGCTAACGACAATAATAATAATCATAATCACAATAATAACGATAATAATTAGAACCAACAATGTCAATAACAAAATTAACAATATTATTAAAACATATATAAATATATATAATACATTCTAATTAGCCTTACTATTCGAATCACTATTCTGTGATTTGGGTTACGCCAACGGAAAGTTACCAAATCTTCCTATTGTAATGTTTTCACTATTATTATCATTAGTATCACTATCATCGTTATAATAGAATTTGTTCTCGTGAAGCATTGGACATCACGTTCTAGTGTCTAGACCTGTGTACCTCAGAGCAAATAAACTCTCCTCTTTTACAAACGAGCATTTTTTTTTTTTTTTTTCAAAGACCAAGAACCATCGAACAATAGGTAAATATTATTTTGCTCGTTGCCAGGTATGTGGGCGTAGCTGTGTATTAGATTATAAATAATGGCGGTGTATTTAGGTGTCAATATTAAGACTATACATACAAAACAGTAACTGCATTCATGAATTAAACTGAAATCTTACATTTGGTGTATCCAATGCTTCTAGCGAGGTCTGATCTAATCTATACAAACCGTTTGTAATTCGAGAATGTAACCAAACAGAGGTGCCGCTCCTGTTGCTCACAGAAAACGGGGTGTACCAGCTATAACTACAAGGAACTGTTGTTGATGTTCCTAAATCTTAAAATGATTGATGTTCATGTTCTTGTTCATAGTGATGTAGATGCTGATGTCCGTACTGATGTGGATACTGTTCTTCAAAATGTTTAAGAGAAACACTTTTTTTATATTCACTCACACAACTTTGGAGAAAAAACACACACAACGAATATCGGATCTTTTAATGGAGCAAAGAAACATAAACATGCTATGGTATTGTGCAAATAAATATGTATATAAGTATGTAGGCGATTATCACCACTAACAGAATGTTTTTGTATATTGTTTATTTTTTTATGTCTGGAGTAGTGCTTACCTAATTACATATGGAAGTCATTTGATATATACATGATGCACAAAACTATACAGAAATGTAACTAAATATTTCTTAACGAACGAGATGATATCAACAAATTATAAAACAGATCAAGGCTAGTCCCTTCTTCCGGGCCTTGCAAGAATAAAAACAGCATTTCCAGGTTTCTAAGATCTTTAAAATACATAACAATTTCTGTTGTTATCTAAGTGCTTACAGGAAAAATGATAAATCAAATTGCATATATATTTTTTTTCGGTCGATCAGATCTAAGAGGAAAAAATGCAGTTAAAATATATACCAGTTCGTTTTTCAGAAGCACGCTCATCTCTGTAAATAATTGGATATTCCTGTTATTGAGTAAAATATACATTTTGTTTCTTTCGTTTACGTTCCTCTCCTCTGTTTTAAGGATAAACAGCAAGTCTAAAACGACTTTCTTCCTCGTGTGTTATATGAGCTTATGCATCGCCAAGCTATCGCTGCGGATCGTAAATATATGTATATGTGGTTTTGTTATTTAGTTCCAAGAGTTCAAATAATGTCTATCTTCACTGTAAAGAAAACTGTAAACCGATGAAGGGAAATAATGGCGTCACCTTCGTCAACATTACGAATTTTCTTTGATTATCTGGTGCTAAGAAACTGTTGCCGACTGTTGCCATGTTTGTTTGGTGTCGTATATGTTTTTTGTTTATCACGGTTGTTATGGAGTGTTGCGTGTTTGTCACTGTCTGCTGCTACTCCCAAGCTCGCTCCCTCTGCCTCTCGTTCCTGAAACTCTCTCTTCGAATTCCTCTTCCTTCTAAATTTCTCTTCCTCCTAAATTTCTCTTCCTTCCATATCTTCCTCTTCCTACTGAATTCCTCTCCGCCTGCCGTTCCGAACTGCCCGTTTCCCTTCGCACCTTCCCGGACCGATCAGCTCTGGTCGGCGAGCAGCAGGGACGTCGACCTCTGTGCCTCCTTTGCCCGTTGAGCGTCGGGACTCTCGGCACGGGGAGCTCTCAGGGGCCGGGCTCTCAGGAGAGTTTATGGGCCAGGGTTTCCAAGAGGAGGGAAGGGGTGGTGGCGAGGGTTCTCTAGAGCTCTCTTGGTCCTCACAAAAGCTGCAGGACAGCTTCCTTGAATTGATAACATCGAGATCAGTGTCTAGTAAATTATGACTGAGGAGGTTGCGGCTGTTGTGATGACTGCGGTTGTGCTTGTGGTTGCTGCTGCGGCTGTAGCTGTTGTTGCACTGGCTGCAGTTGCTGCTGGTGGCCCGCTTGCGGCTTTAGGTGGCGGTGGAAGATGTGGCTGCGGATCATCTCCTTCCGGTTCGCGCGGTACTGGCAGTAAGGGCACGAAAAGGGCTTTTCCCCCGTGTGCGTCCGCATGTGCCGCCGCAAGAGCCAGTCCCAGCGGAACTTGTGGCCGCAGATATAGCACTGCGCCTCCTTGGGCTGTTTCTGCTGAGGCTGCGCGTGCGGGAGAGACAGCCCGCTCAGCAGCAGGTCATTCATGGCCATCTGCGAGAGAAAGTACACACCGTCAGTTACTCCAGCATCCAACAGCATCCTCATTAAAGCCCCAAACCCCGAGACACAGGTTCACGACACTCACAGGGAAATGTCGGCCGGGGGATGAGCCTTCCCCTTTCGAGAGGAGAAAGTAAACTTCACCGTTGTATATATATGCACAGAGGTTAATATTCACTTCCAAAGACCCAAAGAAAGCACTTGGCACGAGCTACCTGTCTAAC